TTCAAATTGAAAAAAAAGGCAGTGAAGAACTGGAAGACTAGAATTAAAAATTAAATTTTCCTCTCCAAAATCTTGTTTCAATTGACACTGGCCAAATCTAGAGGCTGGGAGAGGCTGGGAGAGGCTGGGAGAGGCTGGGAGAGGCTGGGAGAGGCTGGGAGAGGCTGGGAGAGGGAACCTGGTCATGGCATCCAGTCGATGCAGCCCACCCGCAGCAGATGTGCCACCCCAGGGAAGCAAAGCTGCAGTGACACCCCGGGATAACACCTGGGAGCCGGGGACACGGGGGACCACAAACCCATCCCATCCTGGCTGTGCGGGATGGGGCAGGCAGGGACTGCCGAGGGAGGGGGATCGGCTCCCCCGCTCTGCCTGCTGAGCACGCAGTCCTGCCCCGAAAGGTTAGGGAGGTAAAAATAGAGCGGGGCCACGGGATGGCGGGCGGGCGGGAGGCACCTGACCCCTCTGGCACACAGAGGGGCCGTGGCAGCTCCGAAGGGACAGTTTTTTGGGGTGGTGTGTTCCCGGTGGGGGTGAGTGGGTGGCATCACCCGGGCTGGCGGGTCGAGGGAGAGGGTTTTTTGGCGGGGGCTGGTTTGTCTAGGAGGTGCAGGGAGCCCCTGAGGGCAGACCCCCCGTCTTCAGCCGCAGGCTGCTGGTCCAGCCCCGGGGACAGAGGTTGAAGCTGTGGATTCCCGGGCTCTTGGTCCCCGAGTCTTCGGAGTCGAGGGAGACGTCCGAGTCCGTCGGGGACCGGGAGGTGCAGCGCTTGGCCGGGGAGCGCCCGCCCACCACGGGGGATGGCAGGGGGCTCTTGGGGATGGGGGACAGCCTGGGCACGGGGCAGGAAGATGCGCTGGAAGACAGCAGGAGCCGGCGACCCTCCGCCCAGGAGGCTCGGGGCATCCCGGGGGAGGCACAGAACTGGGGGCTGCCTGCCCGGGGGGATCGCAGGGGGCTTTTGTGGGTGGGCGAGGGGCTGCCCAGGCTGCCCAGGCTCCCCAGCACGCTGCTGGCAGCCTGCAGTGCCGGCGCTCTCGGCCCCAGCCGGGGCGACTGGGGCAGGCTGGGGGGGCCGGCAGAGATGGGGGTGAAGGGCCGGGAGCTCTCCAGCCCCACGGCTTTGGGAGAGGAGCTCTTCCTGCGGGCAGCGTTGATGATGTTCCTGGCGAGCCGCGCTTGCATCTGCCGGCTGGCCCGGGGGTCCGCGTCCTGCCGCAGCGGGGACAGGGACCTCTCGCTCCAAGGAGGGGACGTGGGGAGTCCCTCATCCAGCTCGGGCACCGAGGCCGGGCTGGCCCAGCCGTCCAGGCTGCCCGGGCGCCGCGCCAGCCGGGGCGTCCAGGTGGGCGATGCAGGGAGGGACGAGCGCCTGTCCTGGAGAGGGACAGAGAGCGGGTCAGTGACCCCCACTCGGGGGGACGAAGGGACAGCGGCAGGAGGGTGCCAAGGTAAGATTCATGCTGGCACAGCCCCACAGGAGCTGGGGGTGTCTCCTCGTGCATTGCACCCCTGCAAGGGGTCCCCAAAATGCATTTGACCCTGCACGCCCTCGCCCACCAAGGAGATCGGGGCAAGCTGAGCCTGCCGGTAATAATCCCTGCCCAGAATATGTCCCAGGACCTCTGACAACCTGCAGCTTTCTAAAGTCTCCCTCTGGGGGCTGCTCGGAGCCCCCGTTGCACTGCCCCAGGACCCCTCAGCCAGCACTGCTCCCCAGACCACAGGAAAGAGAAGAGCCACGTGTGACAGCGCAGAGAGTGTATTCAGAAAGAGGGGGGAAAAGAAAAATGCAGGAGAAATAAAGCACAGTCAAAAGGCAACTTGGCACCATGGGGAAAGTGGTGAGAGGGCATGGGCAGAGGCACAGCTGGATGAAGCCTTGGGCTGGACATCACCCAGCAGCCCTGGCACCCTCCTCATCCCAGCACATCCCTTGCTTCCAGCTGTGCCACACAGCACTGCCCACCCCAGCTCTAGCACTGAGCCCACGCAGGGACAGGGACCCCGCGGTGTCACCGGGCCCAGCAGCACTGGACTCTGCCATTCCCCGAGGGATGCAGTTCTTCCTCCACAGTGAGGAAGCAAACGAGGACAGATCCTGAAGGAGCAACAGAAGAGCCAGGAGCAGGCACGGTGAGGCAGAAAGGCAGCGTGTCCCCTCCAGGTTTGCTTTGGTAGGAGGCTGAGAAGTGCCACAGGACAGAGGGGATGTGGAGGAGCAGACAGAGCTCTGAGAGCTGGAAAAGCTGGAGGTGAGGAAAGGAGGGAGCCAGAGGTACGATGCTCCATACAGTTTCCAGGTGAGAGAAGAGCAAGATCAGCCTTGTGGGCCTGGCAGCCTCCTACTGACTCTTTGGGAATCCTGTAGGCTCTGTGCCCAGTTCCTGCTGCCTCCCCGGGACTCCTCAGCTCCTGTTGCACCGGGGGCTCAGCAGCGCCTGTCACCCGCTGTCCCAGCACTGCAGCCTCACAACCACTTCTTTTTTCTATTTTCTTTTCTTTCCCCCCTCCTTTTTTTGTGGTTGGTTTGGCTTTTGGCACACCCCTGAGCAGTTAGGGAGGACTCAGCCTAGCACCCCTGTGTTTTTCTCTCTGCCACCATTACTTGTAGTAAAAAGAAGGTTTCCACACCTGCGGCTCGATGCCGGCATTCCTGGTGGAGTAGGAGGGCCGGGGTGCCTGGAAGCCTGCCTTTGCCCGGGGTGGCAGCAGGCGGCACGGGGAGGCCAGCAGCACCTCAGCCGGGGCTCCAGGACTGGCACGGCTGTCAGGAGTCAGGGGCAGAGCCCCGGCAACACTGGGGAAGGGGCTGGCAGTGGTCTGGCTGGCGCTGGGCACCACGGGGGGATGCCAAACCGGGGAAGGAGGCAACGGAGAGGTCGGGCAGGAGGCTTGCTGGGGATAGGGGTAGGAGTCGGGAAGAGAGGGTCTGGGTGGAGGCACCTCCTGGGGCATGGACCTTGTTGGCCTCTTGGATGGGGAGAGGATGAAGAGAGAAGACTGGAGCTGGTAAGGCTGGTGCTTGGAGATCTCCAGCTCCTTCTGGGACACCTCGTTCTCCATTAGGTTGCTGCCATACAGTGATGCAGGAGGGGTTTTGGAGGGCCTGCAGGGACTCTTGGAGGGGCGTCTGGAGACCATGGGTGACAGGTAAGCATTGTTGTCATACTTCCAGGAGGGAGGCAGGGACATGGTGGGCGATGGGGACCGCAGCAGCTCAGGCTGGGAGGGGGCCTCAATGATGAACTTCTCCATCCTGGATTGTCGGCGGGCAAAGAGCTCAGCTCCCTTCCCTCTCGCTTCAGTGAGGATGTGGCTGGGCTGTGGCTTCTTCTTGGGCTGGATGGTGGGAGACTTCAGGCAGGAGGACCATGCCGGAGCATCCTCAGCTGGTGGCAGGTGCTGCACACCCCTGGCTGCACTGTTGGGGACAAAGTTCGAAGCTTCAGCCCCCAGGGCAAAGGGCTCATCCTCAGCACTGGGCTCCCTCTGCTCCTTCTGCTTCTTCCTGCTGTCTGCACTCTGAACCAGGTCCAGCAGGTCGGGGTTGGGGCCCAGCTTCGGCTTCTCCACGAAGGTGAACATGGACTTTCTGCTGGCTCTGCGGGCAGCCGACTCCTCCAGGATCCCTGTTTTGGGCAAGGGGTTTGGTCCGCTCACCCCGCAGCCCAGGAGGGGATCTGGCAGCATCTTCTGCTCCTGGGTGGGGTACAGGGCCGAGTAGGCAGGGGGGGAGCGAACACGGGTGAGGGGTGGGGGGCTGCTGAGGGTCTCTGCGTAGGTTGGAGGTGGGGGCAGCTCGGGGGCAGGGGGCTCCTCGGCCGGCTGGGCACTGGTGGGGGATGCCTGGGTGCCGAAGGGTCTGGCCGTCCGGTTCTTCACAGGCTTGGGCTTGGCCAGGGTGAGATGGACCTCGTAGTACTGCCGGCCCTGCGTCCCGTTCTGCTGCTGCCCGGCTGGCGATGCCGTGGCTGTGGCTGTCCCTGCTGGAGCACTGGGCACCTCGCTAGGCACCTCACCGGGCACCTCACTGGGCACGCTGACGTTCTTTCCTTCCCCGGGGCTCTGTGCCACCACAAGCGCCGCCGTGTTTGGCCCCGCAGGGGCTCCTGCATTTCCGAGCCCCTCCACCCCTCTCTCCATCCCGCTGGCCGAGCGCTCCTGCACGCCGTTGGTGGCGGCCGATGCCATGTTCTCCTTCAGGTAAACGCTGAGTGGGACCTGCTGGGCTTCAGCAGGAAGCTCCTGGCACGGGGAGGCGTTCGCCAGCATCCCTTCTCCTGGATTGCCAGGCTGGGCAGGCTCCGGCTTCATCCCCTGTCCCTGGCTCTGCTCCATGGCCCCTTGGCGAGGCTGGGCCGCGGGGCTCAGCGGCAGCCCCCCGCCATGCCCGGCCCCCGAGAGCCCCTCAACGCGCTGCCTGCGCCGGTGGAACAGCAGGACACCCTTGGAGCTGGGGCCAGGAGCCGTGGTGAGCTGAGCTGCGATCCTCTGGCTCCGCGCCTTCGCCTCCTTCAGCTCCTTCTCCGAGAGGCTGGCGCTGCGGGAGAGACCTGGGAAGAGGAGAGAGGGGGATTGGGGCTTCAGTGGGAATGTGGGGTGTCAGTCCTCCCCGCCCAGGATTGGCAGCCCTTCCTCCAGGTATCCCCCGGCAACCCAGCTCTTTCCCTGGCAGGCGGGGAAAGGCAGGAGAGATGCACCGGGGCTGGGGTACATGGTTCGGGGGCAACGGGGACCCAGCACGGGCATCACGAAGATTTTGGGACACATGGGAAAGCCCAGGGGACACCTAGTGACACTCAGGACGTTTCCACCATCCCGGCCCGTATTTCAGCTGGGTTCTGCGCACCCACCGCGCAGAACCACATGGGAAAGGAATTTCGCCTCGCATGTCTCCGGCTGCAGCTCACATGGCTTCGGTCCCCGGCTCAAAGAGGCAGTGGATGGGCCAGCGTGTGTCCCCCAGCCCCGCACCCCGAATCCCGGCACGTTCAGCCCCGACATAAACCCGGGCACAGAGGGAAGATGACAATCCACCCCGACCTCACAGCAAGGCCGGTGGGCAGCCCTGGCGGGGGACTCATGTATGGAGCAACACGAGATGGCAGCAGCCGACAGAAGCTGTGCAGCTGCTGCCCAGCTGGACACAGCGAGGAGCCACCCTCACGCCTCGGGACTCAAGTGCTAAAAGCAAAGTGCTAAAAGCCTGGCGCGGGCCCCGCGGCGAGCAGCCCGGTGCCTCTGGGCTTCTCCTGTGCCGGACAAAGGTCAGGGCACCAGCCCTTCCCTGAGATCGAAAGGATGTGGAGCTGCCGGGAATGCATTTTCTCAGGGTGAGCAATTTCCTATGAGCTTGCCCCCCCGAAAGCACCCGTGGGAAGGGCAGTGTCCCCCACCCTGCCGAGGCCACTCTTGGGCACAGACACCAGCGACGACCATCAGCATCACCGCCGCACCCAGCAAGGGCGCAGCCCCTCTCCAAAGGCACTGCCAGGATGGCTCTGGTGGCTGGCTCTGCTCTGGCCCCAGCAGGGAGGTGGGTGGCCAAGACCGCCCGCTCCCAGCCCTGCTCCTCTTTCCTTCCCATCCCATCCCTTCCCGTCTTCCCTTCCTTCATGTGTTCCTCATTTTCTTGCCTTCTGTGCTGCTTGGGAGTCTTCCAGGATATTTTCAGCAGTGGCTCAGCCTACCAGCGAGGGAAAGGGATGGATGACTAAGCCAAATCCTTCCAGCAAGCCCACGGCAAGCAGGAGGGCTGCTGGAAGCTGGGCAACTCCTCTTCCTCGCCCTTCATCCCTCCTGCCTCCCCAAGCACCCCGCAAGTCCTTGCACACAGCTGAGGTGTGCGGGATGCCCCGGATGAAGCCTTCAGGCTGCCCGGCAGGAGGGTTTTGCCTGGGCAAGGGGCAGAGATGCCAGTGGAAACTTTCCCGGAGACCAGGAGCCCGTCGGCAGCGGCGACGCCGGCGGCCGGGCCCCCCCGGTTCGCAGCCAGCATTGTTTAAGGCCCCGCTCCTATTTGCTTTGGCGGCGGCACAGAGCGGGGCCGCTGCTTCCTCCGGCCGGGCTGCCTGGAGAGCGGCCAGCACCGCGGCTCCCGCTCCGCCGGGTCACCCTCGCTGCCTTTATCTCCGAAACGGAGGAGAAACGCGGCCAAGGAGCCGTTGAGAAACAAGCCACAGGCTCCAGATGTCTGCGGGTTTCGTGCTCCGAGCGGAGCATCCCCGCTTCCTCCGAGGCCGGGGCTGCCTAAGAAGCCGAGCTCTCGGCGGAGCCATTTCGCAGCCTCTTGCTCTTGCTACTGCCTTTTAACAGCAAACGAGGGGCCCTGGGGGATCTCCTCCGTGCTGGAGGGATGACTCAGCTCTTGGCCAGCCCGTTCCTGCTTGGACAAGCCACCAGATACACTCCCACGTAGCCGGCACCAATGCTGGGATTTGCCCACCGGGATTTTGCCCCTGGGTGTCTCCACCCCTTGCTGCCGCCGCAGGCATCACTCCAGGCCAGGGTTTGCTGTAGGGTGGACTCCCTCACCTAAAATCTCCTGTCTGGAATCCACTTCCATCCATATCCATCCCCTTCAGTCTTCCAGCAGCCCCTCTGCCCCTGCCTGCCCAGCACCCAGCGTTCCCAGGCTGGCCCACCAGGGTCCACTGGAAATGAATCCCTCAGGATATTACTTGGGATGCTAAGGGTAAGAATTGCTCTTCACATCCGATTTTTATGACACAGATGAAGAGCATTGAAGCCTGTGGCAGTCCAGAGGAAATTGCTGCAGCCTGAGCCATGGGATGAGGTTATTCACCCAGTGCAAGGGCCTTTATCTGTCTGCCATGGTGTCTGGAGGGATTCTGCCACCTGGGGCAGTTTCTTCACCACTCACTCTCATCCCAGCCACAGGGAACATTCCATCATCCTTCTGTGCCATCTCCTGCAAGCTGGCAGCCCGGGGTGGGCTCTGGTTGGTCCTTTTCCCCAGCCCCAGGCAGGCAGGAGGAACTGAATGCACTGAGAATGCCCAGGTGCTGAGGAGAAGGAGGAAAAGGGGTGTGGGGCTGAAAGCAGCGCAGGGAAGAGGCAAAAGTAAAACTACGTGTGTCCAAGGGCCTTGGGAACTGGTTTCCACCCAATACCCTGAGCCAAGTCCAAAATCCAGTGGGTAAAGTCAGTCCGTCCTTCCTTCCCTCCTTCCCTCCTTCCCTCCTTCCCTCCCTCCCCACACCATACACTGGCTTGCCATGACACTGTCCCTCAGGAAGGAAACATCTCCCCTCTCCAAATGTCCCAAATTCTTCCAAGACACCAAACCCCCCCAGCCCTCTTCGCTGCCAGGTGCCCTCACTGGGCCCTCCCGTGAGCCAGGGTTGCTGGGGAAGGAGCTGCTCCCTGTGCTTCCTGTGCCCACGGAACTGCCAGAGTCCTGGCACACAGGAGAAGCTCCAAATGCTATTATGGTTTAACACATTTCAGCTCTGGCCACAGAAGCCTATAGATCTCTATCTATAGATTTATATAGGCACTAGCTCTGTAGGTTTTCCGTTGCTCCAGGGGTGACTTCCTGAACATCCCTCAAGTGCAGGGCTTAACAGCTTCTTGCCGAGCTGTCAGTCATCCTTCCCACGGCATGTACAGTGCTGTCTCCTCCAGAGCGAGGATGACGAAGGTGATGAAAGGCATTTTTGTTGCTCTCACTTCCTGGACAGATGGGGGAAAAAAATTCCTTCCATCTCAGCTTTCCATGCAAAGGATGGATCCCCCTGAAGAGTGCTAAAGCAGGATGTTTGAAGTCCAGCCAGGGAAGGCTGAAATCACCATCTGACCCCAAATGAAGGTGAAAGATGTATCAGACATAGCTTATGACCCATCCTGTCCTAAGATGGACTCCTAGAGCTGACAAGGGATGAAGATTTGGCCTTAAATTGCAGTTTCACTGAACTGACAAATTCACTGAAAGCTGATGGTCTTGATATGGATGGGGTGTCACAGGAAGGACAACAGTGACTTGGAAGCTGTGCCTGGTGAGAAGTCCTTGTATGCAGAGGGCGAGAGGTACCCAACTCCTTATGGGACCTGCAGGGTGCAACAGGTCATGTGAAATCTTGGAGTCAGAGCTGGCAGGTGACTCCAGTCTTCACTGTGGGCTCTGTCCCTGGCCTGCTCCGAGTCTGGATGCTCGGCCATCCCGGTGCTGCAGTGCAGCTTGGCCATGCTCAGGGTGTCCTACCAGACCACCCCTGACAGAGCATCCACCATCCATAACCAGCAGGCACTTCTCCCCATTTCCAAACATTTCTTGGACTTCTGTGGTCAACCCAGATGGTGCCTCTTGCTGGCAAAATCCCACTGGCAAAACCAAGAGTGAAACCAAGACAAACCCCATTTCCAGAGGGACACGCTCTGTGCCACCTGACACGAACCCCAGCGCACATCCACAGCAAGGCAATGCTGGGGAGAGGAGATCCAGTGTTTTCACCCAAACACTGAGGACTTTGGACACTGAGGAAATGTAAGCAGGTTTTTTGGCAGAGCAGCAAGCTGGCCCCTTGCCCCAGCTACAGCTGTGCAGGATTTTTTGCAGCCCGTACCAAGTCACACACATTTAAGTCTGTGCACACATTTCCCTCCAGCTCCCAGTTATCCCAAATAATCTGCAGCTAGGAAAACACAGAGGGTAGCATAGACAGGCAGCTGAGCTATCTAGAAACGGATATGATTCAAACATATGGGTAGAAAGATGACAATTTTCTGCCTCATTCCCAGCTTCCAACCCTCCTATGCCCCAGATACAAAACCTTCATGAAGTTCTTATCCATGCTGGCCCTGCAGCCCCAAAAAGATCCAGCTCAAGTGCTGGGTGCTGTGGCGGGATCAACCTTGCCTGCCTGGCAGACGCTCTGTGCTGGGCCTCTCCACACTGGCGCCTTTGCCAGTGACAAAATGTGGCACAGCAAGAAAATTCATTGCGCTTGCAAGTTTTCCCTGTGCTCTGTTTGCAGGGGCTTTGCTGGATTTCGAGCTGTTTTGCCTCCCCACACTCCTCCTGTCTCACAGCCATGCTCAGCACTCAGCACCCAAATCCTGCTGAAATGGCCCCACAGTCTCCAGGCAGCAAGTTCTGGGGCACCCAGCTCCCACAGCGGGGAGAGAAGGGGGCGGTGGGGATTAAGTTGGAACGGGAGCTGTCTGTCCCTGCCCAGTTCCCGGGGGATGCAGTGAGCAGCCCCAGCCCCACATGCGTCCACAGTGGGCAAGCTGTTGCCACCACACAGGTGGAGGTAGCACCTTCCCCAGCTGGCTAAAATCAAGCTTTTATGTTTGGAAAAGGCGGCTGGAGCCGGGCAGACCTCGCCCATCCACCCCGAGTGCGGCGGAACCAGCCCGTCCCACGGCCGGGTACCACGGGGATTCCATCCTGCCTGGAAAGCGCGTCCCAGCCCCGCTCTGCCCAAAGCTGCTGGAACTCTCGGCGACCCATGCAAGGGACAGCCCCGCCGGGCTGGTGCCCCGAGCCAGCGGCGCTGGCCTGGCCAGAGAAGGTCAAATGGCTCCGACTGTCCCTGTGGGGTGGGCAGAGCGGGGAGGGCAGCGGAACGAAACGGGGCCTTTGCCTGTCCCTTGCACAATCCGTAAAGGATCCATCCTGCTGGCTGCCAAGCCGAGGGACAGACCTCGTGTCCCCAGCATGAGTGGCGTGGCCAGGGGAGGTCATGTCCCTGACGAAGGGGACATGGCCTGGGAGGACGTTCTGCGGGGCTGGGAGGTGCGACCCTGCGAGCCCCGAGGACCCCGGCGTCCCTCCACGTCCCCACCGTGTGTCCTCGCTGCGCCTCCCACGCCCCACATCGGACACCCGGGTGCCGGCAGAGGGAACCGACACCTGCCCCGCTCGTTCCTGGAGCCAAACCCCGCTCAGCCCCGGCTGTGTGCGCCCCATCGCCCACCCCTCGCCCACCATCGCACCCACGGCACTTCTGGGCATGCACTCCCGGCCCCGCCGCGCTGCACCCCGGACCCCTGTGCACCCCCCGCACCGCCAGCCCCCGGCACCCCGGACACCCCAACAGCCGGCTGCACTCCCCTCTGCGTGCCCACACAGCCTCCTTCCCCCGTCATTCTGCACTGGCACCCCCCGGAGCCCCCCGCTCCCTGCGCCCCGTACCCCTCCAGCCCGACCGTACCCGCGGTGCCGGGTGCCGGTGCCGCCTCCCCGCGCAGCCCGACTGCACCGGGGAGGAGGCGGCGGGCAGGAAAGTTGCGGCGGCTCCGCCCTCGGAGCGGGCCCGGGGGGGCGGCGGGCGGGGGCCGGGGCCGGGGGGTGGCGGGTCCTGCCGGCACTGCCCCTGCTCGCCCCGACAGACCGACCGAGCGGACGGAACGGGTCCCTCCCCCCCCGGCCACTCTGGCAGCCGCCCCGCCGACCCCGACGTTTCTGCTCCGCCGCTTCTCGTCCCGGCTGGGTCAGCCCTGAGCCCGCTGCGGGACGGGAGAAGCCTGGACATCCCCTTACCCAGCCCGGGGCATCTCCTTACCCAGCCCGGGGCATCCCCTTACCCAGCTCCCCGCATCCCCTTTCCCAGTCCAGGGCATCCCCTTATCCCATTCAGGGGCATCTCTGTCTCCCAGCCCTGCACGTTCCCCTTAACAGTCCTGAGCATCCTCTTACCCATCCCGGGACACCCCATTACCCAGCCCTTCACTCTGTTTCGCTCCTCCCCCTCGCAGCACCTTACGTTTCAGACACTGCTGGGGGTGTGGGGCCTCCCCTTTCCGCAGTTCCCCAGTGCCTAAAGTTCTCAGGCACTTGGGGGGAGGCAAAAATCCAGAGGCAAAAACCCAGAGACAAAAATCCAGCACGGATGTCACTGCTCTGGAGACCTCTTGGAAACAGCACTGAATCCCTTCTGCCAGGGCTGGTCTGCTCCCAGTCACAAGGGAACCGCAGTCCTGGGCAAACTGATGATCCCTGGGGAGCCACCATCACCTCCCATCTCCACCACTCGGCTGGGGCTGCAGAGCTCCCTGGCTGCAGGTGAGACCAGCCTCACCCCCTTCCCATGCCCGTCCACACCTCAGGATGAGCTCTTGGCTTGATTTTTGCCTTTCTAATTTCCTTTCTTCCTGCCCCTCTGTGCTTTTTTGTGCTTTCCTGGTTTTTGAGGGAACCTGGCGCTGGCTCTGCAGCCCCCAGGGAGCGAAACCTTCCATTTATTTGCACACCAGACAGAGAAACCAGTCCTGCCTCCTGCATCTCCCAGCCACTGCCTCTACCCGGGGCTCCTGCGCTCCCCAGCCTGCCCCGAGAGGTGCCAACCAGCCCGGGCCGCCGTGCCAGATATCGAGAGCAGCCAGCCTGGCCTTGGGCTGCTGGATGGGGACCAAAGGGGCACCTGGGACCCGCCTGGGTGGGTCCACACAGCTCAAAGTGGGACATGGGTTTGGCTCCCGACTCCCAGGGCCAGCCCTGCACCTCTCTGGGTGTGGATGGATGCACCCTGTTCTCCTGAAGAAGCTGGAAGAGGTGGGGGTTCCTGTACCCCATAGCAGCTAAAGACAAGAGGAGCAAATCCCTGACATCTCCCAGGGATGCTCCTAAAGCAGCCTGCTGCAGGAACAGCCCTAGTGCCACCTGTGAGGGCACCTGCCCTTTCCTCTCACCTGCGCTGAAGCAATCCTCTGTTTCCCAAACCTGCAGGCTCTTTGCAAGGTTCCAGAGCTGCTCCCAGCTCTCAGGACCCTCAGTGACATCCTGCCTGGAGGCTCTGGAAAGTCTGATGGGTCCTGCAGACAGTGGCTGGTGGTGATCTCACTTGGAGGGGGAGGAAACGGGACAGACAAACTCTTTCCAACAAACCTGTTGAGTTACTTTAAAATTCCAGGCTGGCAGCAAAAGTGCTGGATGGCGGCGGGGATTAGGAAAATGCTGAGCCCGGACAGAGTCAGGCCTGACCTTTCCCCACCGCAGATCTGCCATCCCGGAGCAGTGAGAAATGGGAAGACTATTTGGGTCCATCTGGTTTGTGTGCTGAGCCCTGAAACACGATGCTGCTGGGGCAGCTGTGAGCCAAAGGGCTTGGCTGAGCTTCCCAGCCTGTGTCCCATCCAGGAGCCGCTGGTTTTGAGGATGTCTGACACTGCAAAAAGGCAGGGTTCATGTCAAGCATCCCCAGTCGGTCCCACCCCATCCCACTCAGTCCTGGGGGCTGCCTTGGAAAAACCAGGCTCTGAGCTGGGCAGCAGCATCTGATAATGCCATCCTGTGGGGACAGGGACACACCTGCCTTGGCCCTGTGTGGCAGCTGAGATAACAGCTGGGCAGGAGAAAAATAGAAAGGAGCGTGGAAGCGGGGTTTAAAAATGGGTGCAATGCCAGTAAGAGGATGGGTTCTGTGGGAGCATCTCCCACAGGGAGGTGGGGCAGTCCAAGCATGGCAGCAGCCCCAGTAACCCTAAATATGGACCTGTGTTTGTGTCACTATGGCTGAAGGGACAGTCATGGGCGGAGAGGAATAGCTGTGGCACGGGGCCATGAAGGGAGGCAGTGGCAGAGAGCATTGTAGCAAGCAACCAGACTGAAATAAAGTGCTTAGTTTTTAAACCAGGGGCTGACAAAAATGGCCCAAAGCCACGTGAGGGAGTCTTGGCCAACCCCAATCAATGGAGGAGAGGTGTCCCTGTCCCAGACAGTGCCACAGGAGCTGGTCCTGATCACTATTGGGCAGGATCCCACCAGGCCCCATGGCCAGGGTAAGGGCTGGGAACTCCATCCTGTTTATGCCCAACTTAGGGATGGGTTGAGTTCCTGGAAACAGTGGGAACCCGCCTGCTGCCTTCCCACCCCCCTCCCGAGAAAAGCCACAGATTCCTCCTTATTTTTAAGGCCAGAGAGATCAACTCAAGCTAAATGAATCCCAGCATCTCTGCTGGAAGCCTGGGACCTCTAACCCAGGGGAAGTCCTGCCCTGGGAAGAGCTGGGTGTTCTCACCAGGAGCACAGTGGTGTCTTTCTGGGTGTGGGGGGGTCAGTGGCCAAAGGGGGTTTCTCTTACCTGTTTTCCTTGGCTCAAAGTCAGGGTTGATGAGGACCCGTTGGATCTTCACCACTTTCCACTCCTGGCTGGGGTTGTCCGTGGGGCTGTCTGCTGTGGGGGGCAGCTCTGGGGCAGAGCCAGGGCACTTGGGAGGGGCTGCAGGCTGCTCCACCAAGACCAGGCTGCTGCCATTCAATGGGGGTTGTGGTGCATCCCCACTGAGCCCCCTGGGGTCCTTCTGGCAGCTCCCACTCTGTCTCTCTCCCAGCAGTCCCATCTGTGCCTCCTGCTCATCTGGCTCGGAGGCTGGAGCATCCCAGAGCTGATGGCAGCTCTGCCCCCCTCTGCTCCTCCTCTCCTGCCAGCAGCCACTGTCCCACTCACTGTCCCCCTTGGCTGTCCCACTGACACAGGGGGGCTGCTCAGCCTCGCCAGGCATGGGGCAGCTGGGCTGGGCGTGGAGACAGAACTGCTGGAGCCTTGTCCTCAGCATCTTCCTTCACTGATTGCCTTCACTAGCACTCCATGGCCTTTCCAAACAGCTCCACATGGCCAGGGTGATGGATCCTCCCTCAGAGCATGGGCAGCACGAGAGGGAGGACAGCCACGTGCCAGGCACGAGCTCAGCTTTACTACTCTTGCAGGCAGGAAGAGCAGACAGGATGCCCCTGGAGCAGGCAGGTTCTGGAGACCCAGATGGAGGGATGTGTCCAGGGCAGACAGGCCAGCCAGGAGGATTTTGCAGGAAGATCCCTTTCCCAGGCAGAGGACAGGCATCCAAGGACCTGTGTAAGGGGAAGGAGGAACATTGAGGATGCTTGTGCTTGCACTGATTTCCGATGGCTACAGACATCGGAGCAGCTCCCAGCAACCCCAGCCTGAACTCCAGCTCCAGCAACAATTCCCATGAGGAAGGACCCCCTGAGATTCAAAGCCCATTTGGAAATGCCCCAACCCCAGCACCGTGCTCACCACCCCAGCACCCTCGTCCGTCTGTCCTCACCCTGGGGACAGCACCCTGGGGACAGCAGCCATGGCCCTGGCTCCCCTGGCTTTGCCAGATGAGGCTGTGGGCACCCCTGTTAGTGCTCAGCACTGGGGCACCACTGCTCTGGAGCTGGGAGTGTTCAGTGAAGAAGCAAATCCCTGAGGATGTTGTTCAGGGTTATCAGGAACAAAAAAGGAAAATTTCCAGCATCCAGCTGAACTGTGTTTAACCATTGAGTGACTCACGCGGCGTCAGGACAAGCACAGACAGACCCACTTCCCTCCTGCAAGCATAAATCCTGCTGGGATGACAAACCCACGCACCAACACAGACGAGTTATCAGCTGGGAGAGGGGGATGTCATCGCTCCCAGGACAGGATATGGGTTATAGTGTACGGAAATTCCTGTGAGTCCTTCGCTCGCACAGCATCACCCAGCCCTGCTCACAGCAAGGCTGGTCCTGGGGAAGAGCCTCCTCAGACATCCACAGCACCCACGGCACATGGACCCTGATGGATTTCCCAACCTGAGGAAAAGGGGTTTCTGCTCATCCCAAACCCCTCCCTGAGTTATTACAAGGTTTTTCAGTCAAATGAGAAAAAGCACCGGGTCAACATCGCAGGGTAAGCTCTGGCAGGAATACACCCTGCAGCTTCCTCGAGGCTCACAGCTTCTGTGCAACAAGCTTCTGTGCAACGTTTTTCCTGTCCTTAGCAAGGTTTTTTGGAAAATAAGGCAGATTAGAAAGCAGGCACTCGGGCATTTCCCAAACACAAGGCTGCATTTTTTGGAGAACACCCAACAGAAATCTTCTGCCCTTTCTGAAATCCTTCCTCCTGTCTCTCTCTGCTGCAATTATTCAGCACAGATTTGCAAAGAGAACCTGAGGAGAAAATGTCAATGTTTCTCTCTGAAAAATAAAGTTCACCCTCCTCTTTACATAATTTGGGGGCTCAATAGTTGCAGGAAGCCACCCACATCTTTCCTTAGAAACATGGCAAGTTGTTGGAGCTGGAAAGAGTGGGCTTATCTCAACTGAGGACAAAGAGAAAGTTGCCAAAAATAGCCCCAGCCCAGCCTGGGTCGGCAGAGAAGCTCCCAGGGTGGGTCTGCATCGCCCCACTCCCATTCCCTCCCCCTATCCCTAGGGAGCCGGTTTCTGGGACAGCACAACTCATGTCCATCCTACACCGGAGCCGCCTTGACAATTTGCTGGGGGAGCTGGCGCCTCCCTGAAAACTCTTCCAGAGCCGCCCCCTTCCATTCGGGAGCGCTTTCCACACACGGGCATCTCCTGGGAGCGACGCCCACGGCCCCGGTGCTCCCCAGGCAAACCCAGCCGTGCTGAGAGCCAGGCAGTGGCGTTCCCCAAGGACACACTGCTGGGACAGGGCCACCCACAGCACCGAAATCCTGAGTCAGGATCTGCTGCCTCGCTTGGGGCGTGGCAGAGAGCAGCCTCCTTCCCCCCGGGACACAGCTCCTGGGCTCTACCAGCAGCACAGGAGGGGAATATTTATGAGAACCGTGGATCTCTAGCAAAAGCTGTTAGGCTGAGCCTGTCTGTTGGAATACCAGCCACATAGGATGTGTGTATATGCCTCAGGTGCATCACTTCACTGTCAAAAACAAACAGCAGCACCAGCCATAGCCACAAAACCAGGCTGAGATAGCCCCCACCTGCAAACAAAGGCTGTAAAGAGGGGTGAGGGTCGTTTCAGGCACCATTTCAGGGGTGCAGCTCTGGAGGACACCCAAACTGGGCACCAGTGCCCAACTCACAGTCCTGAGAAGCAGCTGCTCACCGTGCCCATCTGAGAGGCTCCTCATGCTTCCTGATGGCAACAACTCCCTACGGGAAGCAGCAGAATGGTGCTGGGGAGGGAATAACAACAACAAAAAATCCTTCAATTCACAAAGTGCTGAAATCTGGCAGCAAGGAGACCTTTTGCTCAGCTTCTCTTCCTGCCCACTCGCTGGCGAGTGATGCACAGCCCCCCCACCTGCCTTTCTCACACCCTGTCACCCTCCCCTCCCGCTATTGAAAAAAGGAAAACTAAAGTTAACTTTCCACGTCCCACACAAATATTTTTGGCAGGCGTTGCTGGCATTCAGGCTGCTGAGCCCGGGGGAGACAGGGTCTGCAGAAAGTCTTCGTCTCCATCTGCTCCCGGCTGGGGGTCTGCAGTGCCTGGGCTGGTCTGTCCCAGACACAGCGCAGGGGCAGGAGGTGACAGGGCTGTAAAAAATGGGGGGCACCTCCAGGACAGCCCTGGGGACTGTGAGTGGCCCAGTCATGGGAGTGCCATGAAGGGGGGGGGGCAGATTCACACCCAAACTTTGGCTCTGTCCCTGCTTTCCCGTGTTGTTCTCAGCCACATCCTTGCCCCACGCTGCGTTTTCATCACCATGAAACGAGCCGGGAAGGGTGCGAAAGCTGTCCCCAGCACAGCGGGGCTCTCGGGTTTCCCCGGGTCAGGCAGCGGGTCGCTGTCACTCAGGCAGGACCCTGCTGCCCAGACTTGCAGTCCCCAGCTCCAGTCACAAGATCGGCCCAGTCCCTTTCCAAAATAGCCCAGCCGCAATGTATACATCTGGGGAGCTTTACACCTCCCCTGTGCCAGCAGCTGAATGTCCCCTCGGGGGACCCGGGCACCTTCCTTCCCCACGTGGAGCCTTCTTCCCGTGGCGCTTTCCCTCCCTGTGTTTCTGTAAGGGAGCGCTGCCCTCCCAGCTGACACCGGAGACACCTCGGGTGTCACCCAGCAGCATTTGGCTGCCCTGTGCACAGACACTCTCCCGTCTGCTGCAATCCAATACCCTTCCCAGCTCCCTGGGTACCTGGCCGTGAGGCTGAGCTGTGCTGGGGAGCTGCCTGTGGGCTGATCTCCCCTGCACAAGGACCCTGCTAAACCCCAAAGGCCTGCACGGCTGGGGCCAGCGTGGTGTCACCTGTGCCACCCCCATAGCCTCCCACGGGACAGCAGGGCTGCTGACAGCCACACGGGGATGGCAGCAGGAGGGGCACAGCTGGGATGTGCAGGATGGACGGAGGGAAGCCTTCTCTGACAGGGACCAGTGCCCAGGGAAGGGGCACAAGGGACGTGGGATGGATGTGATTGATTCCCTTGCCATGACAAGGATGCCGGCTCCCTGAGGAGCAAGACTGGGAGTGTGGACAGGCATGGCTACGTCCTGGCTCCTGCAGGCGAGGCCAGGGCTGGCAGGCACAGCAGTCTGCAGCGTGCTGGGGAAAACAAAAGCCTTTTGCAGCGCTGATTTACTACCTTGACGGAAACCGGGATGGAAAAAACAACATTCCCGAATGCCTGTCCCCGTGCAACCCCTGCGGTCCCCAGCAGCCCAGCCCGCCTGCGGACACACGGGCAGCTGGTCCCGGCAGGTGGGTGCCCTGTGCCCTCATTCCCTGCCCACAGCCGCTGGGGAGAGGCAGCAGAAGGAATGCTGGGGATGACCACGGGGGCTGCGGGGCACCAGGGGAGCGGTCGTGATTAAGCAGTGAGCGAAACAAGGGAGGAGGAGGATGACAGTGGCATCCCGGCCAGCTGGACCGTGTCCCCTCCCTCTCCACCCCACGCTGGGAGGAACGGCTGGATGTGGGCTGATCGTATCCCTCTGAACTGGTGCATGGCTCCTCACGCCAGCTTTGGGCTTGTCCCTCCGGGCTCAGGGAGCAAGGAGCTCTCCCTGGGCAGCTCCCTTGGGAGCTGAGGCTCCCAGGCACTGAGGAGGGCTGGGAAGCAGGATGGGGAGCTGAGGAAAGGGATGCTGGCTCCTTGGAGGGCAGCACAGTGCAGGCTGGGCTGGATTTTGTACCCTGGCACAGCTGTTCCAACCCAGCCCCGTTCCACTCCACCACCCCCATTCCCATGGGGGTTTTGGTCAGGTTTTGGTGCTCAGCACACCCACTCCCCTCCTCTCACTGCTCAGCCCACATCCCAGCCCCAGTCTCCAAGAAACCCCGATGTTCCACAGGGATTTGTGTCCATCAAACATCGGACTGTGCACTCCAGCCAGGCAGCGCTGCTCCTGCTCTGCCCTCCTGGCTGGGCTCAGAAGTGAATCTACCCCTTCCCTAAGGGGCCCATCTGACCTGGGGGTCCCAACCAGACAATCCTGGCAGCTGCCCATGCCCTGAGTGCATGACAGCCTCACGCAGGGCAGGTCCCAGCCTGTCCTGCCCTTTGCTCAGCCTGAACCCTGACCCCAGCTCCAGCTGCTGCATTCCAGGGAATGACAACCCCAGTCTGGCTCTTACAGCTGCCTCA